AAAAAGTTTGATAAGCTAGACAGAAATTCGATAACTCGGCAGTTTTTTAAATTTATTTTAGATGTTACTCGAAACAGTGTAAGAAATGAAGGCAAAGGTTACATTGGCAACTTTCTTATTTGCCTAAATACTAAAGCATGAATTTTACCCAAATAATCAAAAATGTAAATGAAACTGTCATATTCTACTTTGTAGGTTGAGAACGTTTTATTAAAATGAATATGGAGCTTAACCACGTCGTTACAGTACAGGACCCCACGTCCAGTCACGCTCTATCTGATGGCCGTGATTCTCAACAATAGCCATGCAGAATGGTTTTCATTTCAAAAGGTTTCGTCTTAAGGCTGTCATGTTCAAAGCATACACTACTTTTCTTCTCTCTGGCCTGGAATTGCCAGGTGGTTAGGGCACTCGACTCGCAATCTGCGGGTCGCGGGTTCGAATCCCCGTCCCACCAAAAATACTCGCCCTTTTAGCTGTGGGGGGCGTTATAATAGGACGGTCAATCCCACTATTCGTTGGTAAAAGAGTAGCCCAAGAGTTGGTGGTGGATGCTGTTGACTAGATACCATCTCTTTAGTCTGTCTGTTCAAAATTTGGAATAGCTATGCGCAGATAGACCTTTGTGTAGCTTTGGGCTAAAATTCTGAACAAACAGATAATAAAACCTGGTGTCTTATTACCCGGCTAACATTTAATTATTTAGCCAAATTATCTATAGATCCACAAAACAAATTGTTGAGGGATATTAAAACACACACACACACATAAACCCCCGGTAAATCAACAAGCTTCAAACGATTCTATTAATAGAAGCGTCAAAGCAAAACAAATCAATATATTTGAGACGTAGACACAGTTACGGGTTAGTCTCACTGTCTGTCAAGCTCCCTAGTGGGCCAGTGGGAAGTTTACGGACTAATAAAGCTAAAATTAGGGGTTCAATTACCCGCAGTGGACAGAGCGCAGACAGCCCATTGTAGAACTTTGCGCTAAAAGAACAACAACAACAACCTGTCAGTCAACACTATTTCCCTTTGATTTATGTATACGAGCCAGCTTAAGTCTTTGTCTTATAACGATATTTAAAATGTTCTTGGTTTTGTTAAAATGTTTTCACTCTGTCAATTTTATTATATTACTTTCGTAGTTTGTTTATACGAACAGATTAAAGACTAAAGGCTTAACACCTTTCAAGGAGATCAATTTAATCTCTGGAATCTCGCGTGCCGAAAATTAAGTCTAAGCGGGAATACACCGGCAGCTTTTCTTGATTTACTGTGTATTAGAAACCTTCTTTAGAAGCATTTTTAAATAGAGGTAATGTGAACGTAGGTTACTGAACAATTAGAATATAAAATGACCTTTCACCGTGAATAAATTAAAATTAATTATCTCATTCTTTTCGAGTTAGGCCTAGCATGACCTGGTGGTTAGAGCACTCGACTCGTATTCTGCGGGTCTCAGGTTCTAATCCAGTCACCGAACATGCTCGTCCTTTCGACTCTATGGGGCATTATAATGTTACGGTCAATTCCATTATTCGTCGATAAAAGAGTAGCCCAAGAGTTAATGGTGGATGGTGTTGACTAGCTGCCTTTCCTCTAATCTGTCACTACTAAACTAGGAACGCTTAGCGCAGATTTAGAAAACGTTTCGGTGTTGTGTCAATAACTGTTTACAAAAACGTTTCAGTGTTGTATCAATAAGTGATTTAAAAAAGTTTCGGTGCTGTATCAATAGCTGTTTTAAAAAATGTTTCAGTGTTGTGTCAATAGCTGTTTACAAAAAGGTTTCACTGTTGTGTCCCTGGTTACTTACAAACAGAAAGTTTCGGTGTTGTATCAATAACAGTTTTAAAAACGTTTCAGTGTTGTGTCAATAGCTGTTTACAAAAAGGTTTCACTGTTGTGTCCCTGGTTACTTACAAGCAGAAAGTTTTGGTGTTGTATCAATAACTGTTTTAAAAAACGTTTCAGTGTTGTGTCAGTAACTGTTTTTAAAAACGTTTCAGTGTTGTGTCAGTAACTGTTTTTAAAAACGTTTCAGTGTTGCGTCACTGGTTACTTACAAACAGAAAGTTATGGTGTTGTGTCAATAACTGTTTTAAAAAACGTTTCAATGCTGTGTCAATCATTGTTTACAAATAAGTTCCAATGTTGTTTGACCAATTATTCACCAAAACAGATTTTTGGTTGCAAACAGAAAATGTCAGAGCTGTTTCATTCACTGTTAACAAACAATTTAAAACCATTATAAACAGAAGTTTTATATACTGTATCACTGATTGTTAACAGACACCTTCATTGTTTTGGTTATTTTTCGTTTATAAACAGAAGTGTTTAGTAATATAACACTATCTTTTATAAATACAAACTCTTTATTGTTGTTGTTTTGTGTGAAAATCCTTAGTTAATAAACAATTAGAGTGCTGTGCCATTTTTTGCTTAAATATAACAATTCAGTACTATGTCAGCTACTGTTTATAAACATAACGATTCAGTACTATGTCAGCTGCTGTTTATAAACATAACGATTCAGTACTATGTCAATGTTTATAAACAACAGCTGACATAGTACTGAATCGTTGCTGCTGTTTATAAAC